ATTTTGAAAAAATCATGTTTCTCTAGATTTTACTCACGTAAATCTGAAATATGAAGCTCTCTTGCTGAAAAGATGCGATTTTCGTAATCAGCAGGCCGGTTAACCCTTATGAGCAAGTTTTCCGAGATGTTCGGGTGGTCTCATTTTTCTTGTTTTACGCTCTGGAGCTGGCCGTTAGATTTTGGCCAAAATGTTAATAATCATGAATTGCAAAGAAACCACGTGCCAAGTTTCACAATTTTTCTAAATTTTTGTAACAACCTTTGGAAGGAGTCCAAGTTACGGATGGATAGATCAAACCCTACAGGAAACAGTACAACTTTTTTCTACTTTCCGGAGCTCGTCATAATTTCTGTATAGATTTTTTGATGGAACCACCGTATTTCAGCAGGCTCACCTTAAACACAAATGCATCAAACATCAAGAAATCTTCGGATTTTGAAACAAAGATGTATTATGGTTTTTCACTAATTTTACAAAGCAAATGAGCGTTTACCGCTCCAGAATGGCAACTTTCGAAAATTCCGGGTACAGCCTGGGGTGCCCTGAAAATCTGAATTATGATCATTTTATCTCGGAAAACTTGATGAATTGGAAACCAAAAACAACTGGTAAAAAGAGGAGAAAAAGCTGCATCGAATGACACCCGAGTTGCGTGCCGGTTGTTGTTCTGTGAGGTTTAAGTTGACCAAATGTGGAATTTGATGGCATTTTAGAATTGATTCCAACTGAACAATAAGATGATTATATATTATACAAAAAATACATTTTTTTCGGGAAGTTTTATAGGACTTTGAGCCATCATCCACGTAAAATTCAAGTTTGTAAAGAGGTCACGCTTGGATGGAGTTGTGATGTCGGCGAATTCCTCGAAAGGAAAAATTAATTACCGAGAGCGCAACATTTGACGACGTACCAATACATCTGATTGCGCATCGCAAATTCAAACTCTCATTCATCATTATTTCCTAACCTACATACTTCTAAAGTACCGATGTAAAAAACAAGTTGGTTTTCGTTGAAAGACATTCACGATGTCATCCCAGTATATGGTCCACATGTCATGCAATGCAACGTACCTGCAGTGGCGCACCGACTCCTCGAGATTGAATTCTCGAAATTTGTGAAGGTAATCTACATGAGTTATGAAATGTGCGAGTGATTTGTTTATATTAAGTCGATGCATAATTCCTGCACCAAAATAGGTACGGACCACAATAATCCGGAATAATCCTATATTCCAAATAAGATTTGATATATCATTAATAGAGCAAACCTAGCTTTACAAGGTAGTGCTTGACGTCTTGCAGCAGCGATCCAACGACTGAAGCCAAAAACGAAAAAGATCCAAACGCCCCAAAAAACCAAGAAAAAATTGTAAGTTCAGAAAAATTCTTTGAAATTCTTAACTTGCTCATGCATTGTCATTCCGTATAAGACATTTGTCTATACAGTTGCTGTATTATTCTTTCAGCTGGAAATTAAGAAAGCGAAGTTTTTCATGTTTTTGCCAAATTAGTGCTTTGATGTTCTAGCACTAACAGCTGTATAGTACATGCCGTTAGCAGTAAAACTTTACATTTTCAGCCTTCTAGAAACGCTAGTTCACGTGAAATGATGAATCTTGCTCACCTTATCAGAATTCTTGCCTAGTTGCCAAAAATTCGATGTTTCTTGTAAACCAGCTGCTGTAAAAAGCTGAAAATTCACACTAACGTTTCTAAGGTCATATAGATACAACTGTTAGTGCTAGAACATCTCAGCATTGTTTTAGAAAAAACATAGAAAACTTCGCTTTCTCAGTTTCTAGCCGAGAGAAAAATACAGCAACTGCATAGAGAAATGTCTTGTACGAAATGACAATGCATGAGCAAGCTAGGAACTTCGAAGGATTTTTCTGAAAGAACTTTCAGTTCTTTCTTGGTCTTTTGGGGCGCTTGGATCTTTTTCGTTTTTGGCTTCAATCTTCGTTGGATCAAAGCTGCTGCAAAATTTTAAGCTTTCTCTTGTAGAGCTAGGTCTGCTGTATCTAATGATTTATGGGATCCTATATGGGATTTAGGATTATTCTGGATTATTGCGGTCTGTACCTATTTTGGTGCAGGAATTATGCATCAACCTGTAAATAATTGAAATAAAACTTAAACACTCTTAAAAGCTCAAAGTGGCATTATAAAAAACTTTCGGGGTCATGAGGCGCAAAATTTTAAAAATTTCAGCGCCACCTTCATTTGGAAAACAATCTCTCCCCCTCCTCACAAAAATGTTGGGACCTCCATTGATGTCTACATGTATTCGTATTTCGCTAAGAGTTTTTGAGCATTTGAAAAGAATATAGTTTATTACATATTAGTTTTCTTTATCTTTGTAGCTCATATATCAGTGACGTCATGTATCAGCAACGTCAGTTCACCACCCATAGGCAGTCAGCAAAAGTTTCAAGTTTATACATCTGTTCCGCAATTACCCTAATTTCCAGAGTATAAGGCGCACCTATGTATAAGGCGCACCTGCCACGCGCGAAAGCGCGACAAATGCGCTTAAAGGCAGCGTACACCCAAAATTTCGCTTTCGATTTTTTTGCCATTTTGGGGCCTTTCCGTGCGCCTGATTACAGTTATGACATTGAAATTCTCCAAAAGTCTCAAAAAATCCCGATTTCCAGGAACCCTCTCTTCAGGGGGGGGGACGAGTTTCAAACTGCTCGTCGCTGTTCGGCATGCCAGCAGCTGCAACAGCATGACAGCCTGCAGTTGCAACTGCAGCCTACATATGCTGTCGTGGTTCGTCGCCCGAAGGAGGCGCACCGCAAAAAGCAACTGCACTATTGCAACTGCAGTTGCAGATGCAACAGCAGTTGCAGCAGCTGCTGCAACTGCAACTGCAGCTTACGCTGTCGTGGATTCGTCCAGAGGAGGCGGAGTGAAAGAAAAGGGGCGGATTGAAAGAAAATTGAGAGGGGTTTTCTCCGCTCAGAAGCAACATTGGGAGACCGGACCAACCCAGTTGGTCTTCTTCTGGGCCCAGTATATACGCGGTATTCAAAGATCTAGAAAATTAGCTAACTCAAATTTTGGGTGTACGCTGCCTTTGAGAGTTGCAGCCAAGCGAGGTTCGGTCGTTCCCCACTAGGGGATGAGTATTATGGTTTCTGCCGTATTCACTGCCGTTTACTGCTGTTTAAGTCAGTGTCGATTCTATCATAAATGGATTCAATGAAGCCTTGACAACAGATATAGACTTAAACGGTCTCAATGATAGCTTTAACTCAATGAATTTCGAAGGTAGTAACAGTACGCGTGTTTGAGTCTTTGCTTTTTGTTGTGCTGAATGTAATAAAAGAATTTGTTTCAAAACAACTCATGATTACAAGAAATTCAACTGCAGAAAATCGTGAAAAGTCGGCACTTGGCGGCCTTCGCGACGTCGCACGTCGCTCGCGGCGTCGCAAATGAGGCCGCGCGCGGTGCACAAATGCGCCTTATACTCTGGAAATCAGGGTATTAGCACAAGTAGTTTTTTTATTACATCGACAAAACTGGTATGATGGTTAATAAAAATTCTACAAAACTGCAACTCAAGTCGCTTGGAACTCTTCTGTTCTTGTCGTATTTGAAAAGGTCTGTCTTTCTATTTATTTTTGACTGCATAGCTCATTTCTGGAATCAACTGACAACATTGCTGTCAATAAAAACGACTGCTTCTTTTAATGAATTAGCATCGCGCAAACCTAAAAGACTCCGATTTTCTTGTATCAGTGATTAGCTATGCGTCGCTCTCGCCTTTTCGCTGACCACTTTCACTCAGTACTCTTTCTTTATTCTGGCTGAAAATCGATAACCTGTATGAAATAGTTCCAGTTTGCCCCTGGTATTTCAAAAATCACCTCCTTCATTTCTAAAGTCTTTCCTCGTTCAAGTCCAATTTCCTGGTACTAAAGCATCGTATCTATTTGCAGATGCACAAAATATACTATAATTTCCAACTTTCTGAAATCATTGTTTTGGGTCAGTGAGTTGAAGATAGGCCTGTGTTACAAAACTTCGAGCCTTGCTGTTTGTAATTTCTAATAAAAATCTAAGAAGGCTTCATAAGCTCTGGAATTCACAGAAGAGCATGAACAGGATGATGTTGCTCATAACTTATTCGGCCCTTTTCATTACTACTATTCTATTTCCAACTCCTAATCCTGCTTGATTCGCTTTCAAAAATTACGAATAGCTTAACGGTCTGAGATCTCGTTTTCACAAATCATCCAAAGTTTGCAATTTTCTGTGGCCCAGACGTTACGAGTGGAAAATAGGAATCGTATGAATAATTTTTGTTATTTCACAGCGAGTTGTTCCAAAGATTTTTTGAACGCACGGTTTTTATTTTCCTAGCCGACTCAGGGCACCGTACATAGAGCAAACCACTTGAAAATCGGCTCCAAACTTTATTGACGCTTTAGCTGGAGCTTTGATGGCCATTCTGTAAAAGCTTATTTCGCTTTTAGAATAGTATCCCAAGACCGCTAACAACACAAAAACAGTTTAGAAGAAAACTTTTATTCTTGACAAAATAATATTTTGACTTCCTTGCAGAATTCTTATTGACATGTGAGATTTGATGGTGTAAAAAATGATCTTCCGTTTGTACGAACACCATTCTCTTCGCAGATGTTTATGAGTCGACGCCCTGAATACAAACCCATATTTTAAACATGATCGCCATAATTCATGATATTACGAGCAAAAATCCGCCGCTCGAGTTGCCCATTTGTTGAAGATACGTTTGTGTTTCTATTGTCCTAAATAGCCTATCATTAATCATAAAATTCGCGTTTGCCCTCGTTTGTCACTTCGATTGTGTGGTCGCTTCGTGGTTTATAAGGTGGTGTTGTAACAATGACTGTTTGTCTTGTTCAGAGCGATCACATGCCCTTAACACCGTTTTTGCGGCTTTTCTTTTCTTACCTTGACCTTGACCATTTTAACCAACTGCCAAACAAAAATCAGAGAAAATATGAATTTGCAGATGGGTTTGGAGATTGCTACATGTGGTGCAATAGTCGCATCTGGCACTACTTTGATTCTATCACTAGGCGTCATCTATACAATACAAGCGGAGATATCAACCATGTGGTCCGAACTGGATGCCGATATGGAAGAGTTTAAGGTAAGCTTATTTTCGGGCCCGTCTTCTTCACAGAATCCCATGCAAAGGCCCTCACGAACGATACATGGGAAGCAATGCTCACCCTTGGTGTGGGAACACCATCAAATCGCCAGCGACGACAGATGGCTTCTTACGGTGGCTATGCGGCCAGAGGAAGAAATACGCAATCGTCAAGCAGTGAGGAGAGTGAGGAAGTATAAATTTTTTTACTTGAAAACGCTTAAGCCAACAGCTCGGCGCTTTTCAGAAATTATTGAAAACATTGTCGATCTCACGCTGAAACCTTCGTTGCCAGTATTACGTCCCATGATAATCATGCCAAAGCTTCCACCTCGTTGCATGTGCTTCATGGAGCCACACTGCCCACCAGGACCACCAGGGCCTGAAGGGGAACAAGGTACGAAAAATCCCCTAGAATTAGAAAGTTTATCACCGTGCAACAACTGGCAATTTTTTGTTATCATATAGCGTTGACGAAGAGTTGCCGAGCAACTTCAACGCTTGGGAAATTTACAATTGCCGAAAAATCGTGCAAAATCTAAAAATTCTCTTATCGGGTACCAGACAGTGTTGATTATATCCTTCCGCTTTATTCCTGTGCCCTATCACGTCTTTAAGTACAAAATGTAGTAATTTCTAGTAAAACTAAAATAAAATACCTTGCTGTAATTTCACAACGAATCTGTAATTTTTTTATAATTGAAGCTGGAGCAAACTTTCTGATCATAACTTTGGCTTGATAGAAAACAAAATAGATATCTGAAAATTTGTGGCTTTTTACTGTAACGTAATTGTAATTTATTGATAGTTTCAAAAAAAACCATTACCACGATTAGCATCTTATCCAAGTAGAGATTGCCTTTGCTCAAAAAAGTGTTGCTTGACGTTATATTATTAATTAAAATTTATAATGCACACACTTGAGGTCCTGACGGGATCGATGGAATCCCAGGCGAAAACGGATTTGATGGTTTTGATAGCAAAAGCGTGCCGAACGTTAGTGTTATGCAAGGATGCTATCGATGTCCACCTGGTTGGTCTAAAGTACAAGACTTAACGAAAAAAACCTGGAACTTGCTCAAAGCTATATTAACCATTTATTCTCCTTCGTAATATATTCGTGAGAGGTCGTGAAATAGAAACTGATACTAGGCCCAGCCGGTGAGATTGGAAGTCCGGGCCCTATGGGCGTGCGTGGCATGCGTGGCATGAGAGGTTCGCCCGGAATCCCTGGTCGAGACGGCTCACCAGGAGCTCCCGGCGAGCAAGGTCCGCCAGGGCCTCCGGGGCCGGATGGAAAACAAGGAAGACCTGGAAGGAAAGGAAATGACGGAGAACAGCTTACGGGTCGGAAAGTAGGTTTTATACGCATGTATGCGATATGATGCTTTGTTGCTTGAAAATCTGCATTACTAGGGGCCTAAAGGACCAATGGGAGAGCCGGGTAAACCCGGTCCTAAAGGAAATTCTGGCAGATCCGTACAAATTGGCCCACCTGGAAAGCCGGGTTTGGAAGGTAGGCTAGCCAACTCTTGACAGCACTAACATTAAGTTCTTCCAACTCTCCTCCAAGTGCTTTGGACTATAACCTCGTGGTTACTTAATTCTCAGCCTGCTTTTAATTATATTTGTCAGGTATGCCCGGGTATCAAGGACCTGCGGGGCCTGATGGACCCCCAGGTCCCATGGGTCCTCCAGGAAAGCCCGGAAAAGATGCTACTGTAAGTAGTACTGACGCTACTGTAAGTTTTTGTGTAAAAATAATAGTCATTAAAGTTTGTGAGTATTCAGTACTGCCTATGTCCTGCAAGGGGAGATCCCGATGGTCCACCGCGCATTTTACCGGTGACAAAGCCCGAGCAGCTATATTGAATGGAATATTTGCTCTTTCGTAAGGTCGCGCTTTCGGTACCTTGTACGTTTACCATAAGCTGACTACTTGCTGCTGTCATTTGCGAAGATGGATAGAATATGTGTCGTGAACTCCTTTTTTTGTTACATCATCACGAAACTCCTATCCCACTTCCAAAAATGTTACTTCTTCCTTCTTTGTCTTGAAAAGCTTCAATTTTGTCGGAAAGAGGAAATTACTTACATCATAGTAGCACCTCGGCTTTATCATATGATGGACATATTTTAGAGCTAGAAGCGGAAGAAGATAGATGGTATTCATGCTTCGACTAACAAAGATGCGAATAGTTGCGACAAGAAAACTCTAATAATCGTTTTGTGACTTACTCTACCCAAAAAAAGTTAGTACTGACCGAACACAAAGATTTTCCGGAAACCGAAACATGACTTTCGTAGTTTCTTACCGTCTTCTCATTAATCGTAATTTTTAAAGATTAGCGCGAATTATTCCGGTCACAGAACGTTGAACATAATCGGTGACGGCTTCGGATTTTACAGCAGCGTTTAAATTTTTGACAAACGAATAGAAGGAAACGAAGTCTGAATGCTCTTTTTCCCTCCCCAAAATCTGTACTTTGTAGAGGGCTGCCGAGGTGCTACTACAAAGTTCATAATTAGCTCTTTCTAAATATTAGGTTGTCTCATAATTAATACATGTTTTTCCGACCTCTTATTGAAAAAGCTGATTATTCTAAACTCTGTACAGTATCCAAAAATCCGATTCTTCTAGTTTCTAACACGTTCCTTCGTTTTCGCAAATCTTTTAAAAACAAGTGACTAAATCATAAAATTCTTTCCTTTCACTCTCTTTGCTCCAAATCCACGAAAAATGGGCGAATGTCCTTCAAAAAATATGCACTAGGATTGCAATGTTTTGTGCTAAAAAAAGCTTATCAATATTAGATTTTTGAAAAATACTGAGCCGAGAAATCTTGGCTCAAACTCGGCTGGTAGCTGTTACCCATCTTGCTGCATAAAACTCTCAATCAAGAAGCGATTGTACATCTTTTGCTACATACAGCTAGATTAGACCTAGAACAATTATGGGAAAAGGGCAGGATTCCCTCGTCTTTTAGAGGGAAAAAAATGAAAATTTTCCAACAAAAGGGTTGGTTCTCAGAATGCTGGACAAAGCGGGTTTATTCAATTTTTTTCGCAAAATTTTCTCACAGAAAAACGCCGCAAAACCCAAAATTCATTCCACTGCACAAGCGACCATCGGCTATATAAATAAGCAAAGTTCGCACGATCCTAGTATATTTGAGGGCAAGTTAAGCTCTCTAAAGTTCAAGATTTCTAGAAAAAAGTTTTGAAATTTTTTGAGCTAGAAAACTTGCAGAGTGGCTACGATCCAACAAAGCATGCATTATCCAGTTAGATGTTTGCAATTTGCAATTTTTTTGAATTGCGCCTGGAAATATGGTTTTGGAAAAGAATTATCGTGATTAGAAGTTGAAATTCATAGAACGTGCATTAACTATGAGACAGCCTAGTAGTAGACTTGGGTGAGCTCACTCGTCGAGAGAAGAAGTACTCAGATTTTTCAAAAATGGCTTCGACAAATTTCGGCAACTGCTATGATTGAGTCCCACGAATAGAGCGTCTATTACCTTAGGAGCTAGACCTAAGCTAGGTCGACTGCTCCTTTATTTTAGCTACGGAATGCACTCTTCGGAAGTTATTCGAAAATGGAGCATCGTGAAGGTATTTGACCCTCTATTTTTCCCAGTATTTCCGTTCTCTGCATGTACTTTATCATTGCCTATACGTGTGCTTTGTTTTATGCATATCTACTCTATATACTCGTACAAAAAGTTTGTTGCATGTACCTTCCAGTCGCAATCGGGTAGAAGACATTATGTGGCATAGCTGACATATTCAGGTGTATAGGCTGCACCCTGTTTGCTCTAAAAGCGAACACTCTAAGGCTGCGTTCATACTGATCCCGAAGTTCGGGAACAGTTCCAGCACAGCGCTCGACCTAAGTGCTGTGCTGAAAGTGTTCCCGAACTTCCAGATCAGAAAGACTGCCTTACCATGGGCGCGTTAAAGGCAGAGTTCCGGCAGATTTACCTGGGGGTATCGCTATAGTGGGGTTACTGGTCATTCCACTGACCTCCATGCACAGTCAGGCGTTGATGTTCCCCCGCGCAGAGAAAATAGCCCTTGAACCAGCGCGCGCAACCCCAATCAGCGCCGCTCGGACGGTTTTGCTTATCGTTCGGCGCGGGACCCCCGACCGCTCTCCCGCATTGTGCGCGCTGTCCAAAGCAAAAATTACAGGCATCAAGGTCTTTGTGCCAAGGCCTCTCAACTTTTCATTGAAATTCTCGTCCGAGCTGCCTTTTGGAAATTGGGTAAAATGAGGTGAATGAATGAGGTCTTTTCACCCATATCAAAGCCCTAATTCGGGGTCTGCGGGTCGAAAAGGCTTAAGGCATGCAAAAAGATGAAAATGCAAAATCTGCCGAGACATTGCCTTTATATGAGAGCAATGTGCGAAAAAGCGACAGCTTCGCGGGACACATGTCGGCGGCACACCCAGGTCTGCTCGCGTTTAGAGCGAAGAGGTGCGGCTTATACATCAAAAATAGGTTAGTTTATTTGTCAAGTTGTTGGCATGCCTTAGCAGAACCATGTCTATTCTTCATTTTCTGAAACGTTATCTATCAAACATCTATCTGTCTGCTATCAAAACATTTATGCTTCAAGGATCCTTTCCTGCAAACGCTCGATCTCACGCTTCGGTTTCGACTAGGTACATCGGAACAAACTGGAAATTCTATCTTATCTTTTATTAACTACATTATATTTGTTCAACTCATAATGTATAAAGATTATTGACTCTATGCAGTAATGTACAGGAAGGATAAACTAATGTACAACGTAACCTTCGCAGCTGCACCGCTCTTGCAAATGGTTATTTCGTGAGAAGCCGAATTTGCTACAAAAGGAATGAGCATGATTTATCAAACACAATCATCAGCTGGTATCAATAATGGCGCACACTTCTAGTGACTTTCTGCTATTTGTCGTTGATCCATCTATCTAGTTGACAAATTCTTTTGTGAGACTTTCTCTTTTTCCAAAAATCCTGAGACCTTCATAAGTTTCCCGCGCTAACGATGAGCAAATAACTAAAAGGAGAAAAGTTTCGTGCTCGCAGTTCCAAAAGTGATATTTATTGGAAACTGCAGTATATCATGTATGGGTGCTTACTTATTGGAGGGGGTGTATCGTCGTGTGCGCAGAAAAAGAAGCTGCTGGGATAAATTCTCTAAAAGCCCCATCAGCTCAATTGAACTGAGCCGACCCCTCAGTCCAACTTAGCCAGCTAAACTTACGATCGCGCACTGCCGTGCTTTGGGAATGGATGGATCACAACTGTCGAAGAACGTCCGGTCAAGAGCCTTGGTGCGTTTGGAGCGCTGCCTTAAAGGCGGTGTCCAGGCAGATCTGGACATATGGTTTTTTTTTCCAGAAACTGATGAGGAGGTTCTAGTTAAGGTACTGCCCAAACCGGAGCGCAAATGATTCATTTACGTCTGAGAAATCCATCCCCGAACACTCCACGGCTGCGCCGTGACCGTAACACTTAGCATGGGTCCCAGCGCGAACGTAGTGTTAAAATAAGCGAAGTCACTTTCGGGTTAAGGTAATGGCGCAGTTGCGGAGTTTTCGGGGACGGATTTCTCAGCCGTGAATGAACAGCTGCCTTCTGGATAGTGCCTTAGCTAGGACCTCCTCATCAACTTTCAGGCCAAAAACCCATGCGCCCAAATAGCCTGGACACTGCCTTCAAGTTTAACGCATCGACACAATGATGATCCACATGCTGGGTCACGCAATGAGTAAAATGGAAGACAATTTGAACAAAGTTTGTACTGGTAGAAACTCATGTTCAGGTACAGATTTTCATGTTTTGATGCAGCTTTTCAGCTTTTGAGGTAGGTATACTGTGAATGACGGTCTGCTTAGTCTAGCGAAGAAGCTGTTATCCTATCCGTGCTTTTTCCCCACAAGGTAGAGAAATAAAATGTGCGTTGTCGTCAACGTGTGAAAGGCACTATCCCAGCAGATTCTCGACTTTCACTTCTTTGTCTTATCCAGGCCTTTTTATGGTGTTATTAAAATATGGTTCAAAGCATGCATTGCTCCTGCTAGGGACAGTGTTTGGAAGCCTGATTTGCGCAGTGGAAAATTTAATTCAGCTCATACGCTGTCTTTAAATAGATCATAACTGAATTTACAAGAGAATATACTAGTGCGGAAAAGTTGCTCGTGATTAACTTATGAGGCAACACGCTGGCGCTATCCACGAACGACAAGTATAAAGACGCGATTAGACCGAACGGATAGAAAGGACTGATGAAGAGCTAGCTGCAGTTAGCGAAACGAAATACAGTGTGCCCCAATCAGGATAAGGCCTGACCGTCAGCTGAATTTGCGCGCTCGCAACGCTAGGGGTCTGCGCTGCATATGCGCGCTATCGGAGAGAGCGAAAAGATTGAGGAGAGAGCAGACTAACTAGCCGTAGACATGACGCAAAACCCTCGCGAGCCATGCCAATTTTGGCTTGGTTGGGATTGAGGCAGACTGTGAGCTTCCTTTGTGCAGAGGATGTTTTCAAGGAAAGTCTAATTCTTAACAATTGATATTTCAAAATAAAAGAAAAGTAATGTAAATTAAAGTTGAAATGTAGTATTGAATTGCTATGAAGATTTCCGGGCGTTTGTGGAAAGTTCAAACTGCTGTAACCTCTAGCAGATTGGTTTCATTTAGACACGATGTTGTCTACAGGACAATTGTCTTATTGAGCTTCGGGGCACTATATGCAAAATCTTTTTTCGAATTTGAAAATTCATTCGTTTTTGCATCGATGCCTTTTGCTGAACTATGGCCAGGGTCAAGCGTGGGGTGTAACACGCCACAGCTGGGGTTCGTGTCGAGGAGTCAAAAAC